GCTGAAAGTCCGTATTGCCCAGCGACAGCCCCGAAACCTGAAGGATCTGGAGAAGGTCTGTATGGAGAAGTGGGCCAAAATCTCTGCTGCAGTGTGTGCAAACCTGGTCAAGACCTACAGGAAACGTATGATCTCTGTAATTGCAAACAATGGTTTCTGTACCAAATATTAAGTTCTGCTTTTCTGATGTATCAAATACTTATGTCATGCAATAAAATGCAAATTAATTACTTAAAAATCATACAATGTGATTTTCTGGATTTTTGTTTTAGATTCCGTCTCTCACAGTTGAAGTGTACCTATGATAAAAATTACAGACCTCTACATGCTTTGTAAGTAGGAAAACCTGCAAAATCGGCAGTGTATCAAATACTTGTTCTCCCCACTGTATATACAGTGAGGGAAAAAAGTATTTGATCCCCTGCTGATTTTGTACGTTTGCCCACTGACAAAGAAATGATCAGTCTATTATTTTAATGGTAGGTTTATTTAAACAGTGAGAGACAGAATAACAACAAAAAAATCAAGAAAAACACGTCAAAAATGTTATAAATTGATTTGCATTTTAATGAGGGAAATAATTATTTGACCCCCTCTCAATCAGAAAGATTTCTGGCTCCCAGGTGTCTTTTATACAGGTAACGAGCTGAGATTAGGAGCACACTCTTAAAGGGAGTGCTCCTAATCTCAGCTTGTTACCTGTATAAAAGACACCTGTCCACAGAAGCAATCAATCAATCAGATTCCTCAAGCTCACCAAGTATGTCAGGGACAAGATTGTAGACCTACACAAGGCTGGAATGGGCAACAAGACATTCGCCAAGCAGCTTGGTCGAGAAGGTGACAACAGTTGGTGCGATAATTCGCAAATGGAAGAAACACAAAATAACTGTCAATCTCCCTCGGCCTGGGGCTCCATGCAAGATCTCACCTTGTGGAGTTGCAATGATCATGAGAACGGTGAGGAATCAGCCCAGAACTACACAGGAGGATCTTGTCAATGATCTCAAGGCAGCTGGGACCATAGTCACCAAGAAAACAATTGGTAACACACTACGCCGTGAAGGACTGAAATCCTGCAGCGCCCGCAAGGTCCCCCTGCTCAAGAAAGCACATATACAGGGCCGTCTGAAGTTTGCCAATGAACATCTGAATGATTCAGAGGAGAACTGGGTGAAAGTGTTGTGGTCAGATGAGACCAAAATCGAGCTCTTTGGCATCAACTCAACTCGCTATGTTTAGAGGAGGAGGAATGCTGCCTATGACCCCAAGAACACCATCCCCACCGTCAAACATGGAGGTGGAAACATTATGCTTTGGGGGTGTTTTTCTGCTAAGGGGACAGGACAACTTCACCGAATCAAAGGGACGATGGACGGGGCCATGTACCGTCAAATCTTGGGTGAGAACCTCAGCCAGGGCATTGAAAATGGGTCATGGATGGGTATTCCAGCATGACAATGACCCAAAACACACGGCCAAGGCAACAAAGGAGTGTCTCAAGAAGAAGCACATTAAGGTCCTGGAGTGGCCTAGCCAGTCTCCATAACTTTATTACCATATAAAATCTGTGGAGGGAGCTATAGGTTTGAGTTGCCAAACGTCAGCCTCCAAACCTTAATGACTTGGAGAAGATCTGCAAAGAAGAGTGGAACAAAATCCCTCCTGAGATGTGTGCAAACCTGGTGGCCAACTACAAGAAACGTCTGACCTCTGTGATTGCCAACAAGGGTTTTGCCACCAAGTACTAAGTCATGTTTTGCAGAGGGGTCAAATACTTATTTCCCTCATTAAAATGCAAATCAATTGATAACATTTTTGACATGCGTTTTTCTGGATTTTTGTGTTGTTATTCTGTCTCTCACTGTTCAAATAAACCTACCATTAAAATTATAGACTGATCATGTCTTTGTCAGTGGGCAAACGTACAAAATCAGCAGGGGATCAAATATTTTTTTCCCTCACCGTATATATATATATATATATATATATATATATATATATATATATACAGTTGAAGTCAGAAGTTTACATACACTTAGGTTGGAGTCATTAAAATTTGTTTTTCAACCACACCACAAATTCTTCTTAACAAACTATAGTTTTGGCAAGTCGGTTAGGACATCTACTTTGTGCATGACACAAGTAATTTTTCCAATAATTGTTTAAAGACAGATTATTTCACTTATAATTCACTGTATCACAATTCCAGTGGGTCAAACGTTTACATACACTAAGTTGACTGTGCCTTTAAACACCTTGGAAAATTCCAGTAAATGATGTCATGGCTTTAGAAGCTTCTGATAGGCTAATTGACATCATTTGAGTCAATTGGAGGTGTACCTGTGGATGTATTTCAAGGCCTACCTTCAAACTCAGTGCCTCTTTGCTTGACATGGGAAAATCAAAATAAATCAGCCAAACCTCAGGAACAAAATTGTAGACCTCCACAAGTCTGGTTCATCCTTGGGAGCAATTTCCAAACGCCTGAAGTTACCACATTCATCTGTACAAACAATAGTACGCAAGTATAAACACCATGGGACGACGCAGCTGTCATTCCGCTCTGGAAGGAAACGCATTCTGTCTCCTAGAGATGAACGTACTTTGGTGCGAAAAGTGCAAATCAATCCCAGAACAACAGCAAAGGACCTTGTGAAGATGCTGGAGGAAACAGGTACAAAAGTATCTATATCCACAGTAACACGAGTCCTATATCGACAAAACCTGAAAGGCCACTCAGCAAGGAAGAAGCCACTGCTCCAAAACCGCCTTAAAAAATCCAGACTATGATTTGCAACTGCACATGGGGACAAAGATCGTACATTTTGGAGAAATGTCCTCTGGTCTGATGAAATAAAAATAGAACTGTTTGGCCATAATGACCATCGTTATGTTTGGAAGAAAAAGGTTGCGGCTTGCAAGCCGAAGAACACCATCCCAACCGTGAAGCACGGGGGTGGCAGCATCATGCTGTGGGGGTGCTTTGCTGCAGGAGGGACTGGTGCACTTCACAAAATAGATGGCATCATGAGGAAGGAAAATTATGTGGACATATTGAAGCAACATCTCAAGACATCAGTCAGGAAGTTAAAGCTTGGTCGCAAATGGGTCTTCCAAATGGACAATGACCCCAAGCATACTTCCAAAGTTGTGGCAAAATGGCTTAAGGACAACAAAGTCAAGGTATTGGAGTGGCCATTACAAAGCCCTGACCTCAATCCTATAGAACATTTGTGGGCAGAACTGAAAAAGCGTGTACGAGCAAGGAGGCCTACAAACCTGACTCAGTTACACCAGCTCTGTCAGGAGGAATGGGCCAAAATTCACCCAACTTATTGTGGGATGCTTGTGAAAGGCTACCCGAAACGTTTGATCCAAGTCAATTAAAGGCAATGCTACCAAATACTAATTGAGTGTATGTAAACTTCTGACCCACTGGGAATGTGATGAAAGAAATAAAAGGTGAAATAAATAATTCTCTCTACTATTATTCTGACATTTCACATTCTTAAAATAAAGTGGTGATCCTAACTGACCTAAGACAGGGAATTTTTTACTAGGATTAAATGTCAGGAATTGTGAAAAACTTAGTTTAAATGTATTTGGCTAAGGTGTATGTAAACTTCCGACTTCAACTGTATACTGTATATACTGAACAAAAATTAACGCAATATGCAACAATTTCAAAGATTTTACTGAGTTACACTTCATATAAGGAAATCAGTCAATTAAAATGTATTCATTAGGTCCTAATCTATGGATTTCACAAGAATACAGGGAATACGGATATGCATCTGCTAGTCACAGATACCTTTAGAAAAAGGTAGGGGCATGGATCAGAATGGATCAGTATCTGGTGTGACCAGAATTTGCCTCATGCAGCGCGACACATCTACTTCTCATAGAGTTGATCAGGCTGTTGATTGTGGCCTGTGGAATGTTGTCCCACTCCTCTTCAATGGCTGTGCGAAGTTGCTGGATATTGGCGGGAACTGGAACACGCTGTCGTACAAGTCGATCCAGAGCATCCCAAACATGCTCAATAGGTGACATGTCTGGTGAGTATGCAGGCCATGGCAGAACTGGGACATTTTCAGTTCCAGGAATTGTGTACAGATCCTTGCGACATGGGGCCGTGCGTTATCATGCTGACACATGAGGTGATGGCGGTAGATGAATGGCACGACAATGGGCCTCAGGATCTCGTCACGGTATCTCTGTGCATTCAAATTGCCCTCAATAAAATGCAATTGTGTTCGTTGTCCGTAGCTTATGCCTGCCCATACCAGAACCCCACCGCCACCATGGGGCACTCTGTTCACAACGTTGACATCAGCAAACCGCTCACCCACACGATGCCATAAATGTGGTCTGCGGTTGTGAGGCCGGTTGGACGTATTCTCTAAAATGACGTTGGAGGCAGCTTATGGTAGAGAAATTAACAAAATTATCTGGCAACAGCTCTGTTGGACATTCCTGTAGTCAGCATGCCAGTTGCACGCTCCCTCAAAACTTGAAACATCTGTGGCATTCATTGTGTTGTGTGACAAAACTGCACATTTTAGAGTGGCCTTTTATTGTCCCCAGCACAAGGTGCACCTGTGTAATGATCATGCTGTTAATCAGCTTCTTGATATGCCACACCTGTCAGGTGGATGGATTAACTTGGCAAAGGAGAAATGCTCACTAACAGGGATGAAAACAAATTTGTGCACAAAATTTAAGAGAAATAAGCTTTTTGTGCATATGGAACATTTCTGGGATATTTTATTTCAGCTCATGAAAAATGGGACCAACACTTTACATGTTGTGTTTTATATTTTTGTTCAGTGTAGTTCAAGAAAGAGAATCTCCAGTCACTGTCACGCTCCTATATGTCCCCTCACTGACAGGGACATTATTAGTCTCGCTCTCTCTCTCTCTTCTTCCTATGGTGAGTGGTAGCATGAACAACAGGGTTAACCTTGGGCCCCCTTTCGCTCTCTCTTCTCTGGCAGGACTTCTCGTATGACGACTCGAAAGCAGAGTTGTTCAACGTAGACGCGCCCAATGGCGTGGTGATGGAGGGGTACCTGTTTAAGAGGGCCAGCAACGCCTTTAAGACGTGGAACAGGTAACTAGACAACTGATCAGTAACTCTACCTAAGCCAGCTACACTCTGGCTTCAAAGCATACTATATTAGTGTATTGTGGTAAAAGCCTTTTGATTTGAATTCTATCTTGGCAATGGTATGCTTTGTGGATTTTCTGTAGACATACCATAGATAGCGAGCTAAAGAAATACTTAGCCTAGATTATTTCAGTAAGTAGAGTCTATTCCCTAGGAAACCATACTTGGCCATAGTTCACGTCGTGGGGAATAGTTTACTGAATATATTGCCTGTGGAACACCAGGCTATTTCTCCCTGTAGGCAGTTCTCCCACTGATGCTATCTACTAGGGCATTACAATGTATTACTCCATTTTGTCTCGTTTCCTGACTGCTTCCCATCTAACCATCTAAAGAGGTTAGATGTGAACCGAACCACACGTGTTCTGAATTCCTCTCTGCTAGATAGTGCAGCTCAGGGGAAAGGGAGAGCCGGTTCACATTCACTTTTACACTTCCCAACCTAGAGAGTGACATTATTTCAACTCGGCAGGTCAGCACGAAATCCACTTAACATGCATGTTTTATTCATTTCTCTCTCTCTCTGTCTCTTCTCTGTCTCTTCTCTCTCTCTCTCTCTTCTCTCTCTCGCTCTCTCTCTCAGGCGGTGGTTCTCCATCCAGAACAGTCAGCTGGTCTATCAGAAGAAGCTGAAGGCAAGTCCACAAATTCACTAGCTACCATCTTAGTATGAGTCCCTGGGGGGGTAAGAGGTTACGTGCAACTTTAATGGGGTATAGAGCTACTTTGAAAGTCACTGGGATCTATATTGGCGAAATACAACCCTCCCTCTGTCAACACTGACTGCATTAGGGCAGAGGACTGTTATAGGATAGCTTAATACTCCTCAGAGTCCTGTCCCAAAAGACTCTGATGGATGTTTGTGTGTGTAAGTCCCCTTCCTACTCATAGACCCTCACATGAATCCATAGTGGAATATAGAATGTGAGCGCCAGTGTACCCGTATGAGCTGGATGATTGGATTAATTAGGAAAAGATGCTCAACTGAGGGACTTCGAAATCCAAACAACACATCTCATCCAAGGACACAGTGGGCATAATGTTGGTATGATGAATAATTGAACTAATTGACTGACCGGGCCTTTTACACTGTTACTGACCAATAGGATTCCCTGACGGTGGTGGTGGAGGACCTCAGGCTGTGCTCTGTCAAGCCTTGTGAGGACATTGAGAGGAGGTTCTGCTTCGAGGTTGTCTCCCCCAACAAGTATGTTCTTAGTGTCCTTATATTATGGAATTAACTAAATCAATTCACCTTTGTTCCAAGGAATTTTCCTTACACAGTTAAATTGATCTAAATCTCTTCAGGTAAAATCTTAAGAAAATTGCCAATAATATGGCCAATAAAGTATTCTTCTTCTTCCAAGAGGGCAAGGGGCTATAGTTTTGTACTGTTGATAGACTTTAATGTGTGCTGTAATATGGTGTTATCTTTCCATTCTACAGGAGCTGTATGCTGCAGGCGGAGTCAGAGAAGCTTCGGCTAGCCTGGATCCAAGCAGTGCAGGCCAGCATTGCCTCAGCATACAGGGAGAGCCCAGACTACCACTACATTGAGGTCAGTTGGTCCATCTAGCTACAGACCTAACTGTAAAACAAATGCTAATATTCTCTAACCTTTGCTTTAATCTAGACATATTTTACATCATGACACATGTCATTTATAAGCTTATACGTTTGCATGAAGGGAGATAAATCAAGACTGTCATGCCTCAGAGAATGATGCTTGCCTCTCTTAGTTACACTCTGTTTACCATGTCTGTCTTCCCACCAATAGTGTCTGGACAGGACAGCCTCACCTTCCGTCAGCAGTATCGACTCGGCCAGCGAGCCTCGGGAACGCAGTGTCAGAGGGGAGACCATCCTGCACCGTATACAGTGTCTCTCGGGCAACGAGTATTGCTGTGATTGTGGCCAGGCCGACCCACGCTGGGCCTCCATCAACCTGGGCATCCTACTCTGCATCGAGTGCTCCGGCATCCACAGGTACGGTCTGCCGCTATGGAGGGCATCCTGCTCTGGCATGCATAGATATACTGTCTGTATCTGTAAAGGTTAGTCTCATGAGCCATACCCAAAGTCTCGTGCTATCTGGCTTGCTTAGCTTGTCTTTAAGAGAGTACATAAAGGCATACTTCACTGGCTAGACAGGCTACTGTAGTATGGACCATGGACTATCCTAAAGCACTTGTGGTTGTAGACCAGTGGAGGATGTAGTAGCAGATAGCTGCACTACCACAGGGTGACTGAGGGGTCATTTGTGACTCTGCGTTCTAGACTATGTGCTGGTGTCTTGGCTCTGAGAATGAGAGAGTGCCAATGGCCAATAGGGTGCCTTAGCCTTACCTTGTCATCTGCTTAGCATAGGACATGTTAAGCCACACCTCTGCTGGGATTACTGTGTGGCTAGGCTGCTTAACGTTGCTTATTGGATCAGGTTGTGTTTGATTGGGAGAGCTCATTGCGTTAGTAGACAGGATGGGAGTTAGACGATAAGCACCGCAGAACTGAAACACTTATGTTTATCAACTAGAATAGCATCCCTTTAATGGTGAAAGTACGCAATTCTTGAACCACACCTGATTAGCAATCAGGCCAAAGCAAGATAAAGATTCCTATTTCTAATACCTGTCTAATGTCCTTAATACATTTTTTTACATTTACATTTTAGTCATTTAGCAGACGCTCTTATCCAGAGCGACTTACAGTTAGTGCATACATTTTTTTTTTTTCATACCCCCCGTGGGAATCGAACCCACAACCCTGGCGTTGCAAACGCCATGCTCTACCAACTGAGCTACATCCCTGCTAATACCATAGCTCTAGGGTTCACTCTAGCACTGCATACATTATAGCTGCAACACACTTGGGTATTTGTCAAGCATTAGGCTAGATGGGAAAGTTTTCCTCCGTTTCAGCAGTTGGTGGTGTTGACTGTTTACAGCAGAGATGCAGCAATGATCAATGCTTATGTCATCACCACCTCCTCTGGACCATCTGTTGAATATTCATGATCTGTTTCTGTCAGATAGCCTGTCTTCTCCTAGTGGTGAGATGAGATCACACGAGGCTTTCCATTAGAATAGAGGAGGAATACACAGAGACACTATCGCACAGTCTTTTCTTTGGCATGCCGCACCGCAGTTGCCTGGATACCAGCGGGTTTTGTTGGTGGAGCGGTGATTTGCATGACATTGAGGGCAGCTACTCTGTTTCCCAGGGGTACACCACATCAGTCACTGGCTTCATCAATAAGTGCATCGATGATGTCGTCCCCACAGTGACCGTACGTACATACCCCAACCAGAAGCCATGGATTACAGGAAACATCCGCACTGAGCTAAAGGGTAGAGCTGCCGCTTTCAAGGAACGGGACTCTAACCCGGACGCTTATAAGAAATCCCGCTATGACCTCCGACGAACCATCAAACAGGCAAAGAGTCAATACAGGTCTAAGATTGAATCATACTACACTGGCTCTGACGCTCGTCGGATGTGGCAGGGCTTGAAAACTATTACAGACTACAAAGGGAAGCACAGCCGCGAGCTGCCCAGTGACACAAGCCTACCAGACGAGCTAAACCACTTCTATGCTCGCTTCGAGGCAAACAACACTGAAGCATGCATGAGAGCACCAGCTGTTCCGGACGACTATGTGATCACGCTCTCCGTAGCCGATGTGAGTAAGACTTTTAAGCAGGTCAACATTCACAAGGCCGCAGGGCCAGACGGATTACCAGGACGTGTACTCCGAGCATGTGCTGACCAACTGGCAAGTGTCTTCACTGACATTTTCAACATGTCCCTGACTGAGTCTGTAATACCAACATGTTTCAAGCAGACCACCATAGTCCCCGTGCCCAAGAACTCTAAGATAACCTGCCTAAATGACTACCGACCCGTAGCACTGACGTCTGTAGCCATGAAGTGCTTTGAAAGACTGGTCATGGCTCACATCAACAGCATAATCCCAGAAACCCTAGACCCACTCCAATTTGCATACCGCCCCAACAGATCCACAGATGATGCAATCTCTATCGCACTCCACACTGCCCTTTCCCACCTGGACAAGAGGAACACCTACGTGAGAATGCTATTCATTGACTACAGCTCAGCATTCAACACCATAGTGCCCTCTAAGCTCATCACTAAGCTAAGGATCCTGGGACTAAACACCTCCCTCTGCAACTGGATCCTGGACTTCCTGACGGGCCGCCCCCAGGTGGTAAGGGTAGGTAACAACACATCTGCCACACTGATCCTCAACACGGGGGCCCCTCAGGGGTGCGTGCTCAGTCCCCTCCTGTACTCTCTGTTCACCCATGACTGCATGGCCAGGCACGACTCCAACACCATCATTAAGTTTGCCGACGACACAACAGTGGTAGGCCTGATCACCGACAACGATGAGACAGCCTATAGGGAGGAGGTCAGAGATCTGGCCGTGTGGTGCCAGGACAACAACCTCTCCCTCAACGTGACCAAGACAAAGGAGATGATTGTGGACTACAGGAAAAAAAAGAGGACTGAGCACGCCCCCATTCTCATCGACGGGGCTGTAGTGGAACAGGTTGAGAGCTTCAAGTTCCTTGGTGTCCACATCACCAACGAACTATCATGGTCCAAACACACCAAGACAGTCGTGAAGAGGGCACGACAAAGCCTATTCCCCCTCAGGAGACTAAAAAGATTTGGCATGGGTCCTCAGATCCTCAAAAAATTCTACAGCTGCACCATCGAGAGCATCCTGACTGGTTGCATCACCGCCTGGTATGGCAACTGCTTGGCCTCTGACCGCAAGGCACTACAGAGGGTAGTGCGTACGGCCCAGTACATCACTGGGGCAAAGCTCCCTGCCATCCAGGACCTCTATATCAGGCGGTGTCAGAGGAAGGCCCTCAAAATTGTCAAAGACTCCAGCCACCCTAGTCATAGACTGTTCTCTCTGCTACCGCACGGCAAGCGGTACCGGAGTGCCAAGTCTAGGTCCAAAAGACTTCTCAACAGCTTCTACCCCCAAGCCATAAGACTCCTGAACAGCTAATCATGGCTACCCGGACTATTTGCACTGCCCCCCCACCCCATCCTTTTTACGCTGCTGCTACTCTGTTAAGTATTTATGCATAGTCACTTTAACTCTACCCACATGTACATATTACCTCAACTACCTCAACTAGCCGGTGCCCCCGCACATTGACTCTGCAACGGTACCCCCCCTGTATATATAGCCTCCCTACTGTCACTTTATTTTACTGTATATATAGCCTCCCTACTGTCACTTTATTTTACTTCTGCTCTTTTTTTCTCAACACTTTTTTGTTGTTGTTGTTTTATTCTTACTTTTTTTGTTTAAAATAAATGCACTGTTGGTTAAGGGCTGTAAGTAAGCATTTCACTGCAATGTCTGCACCTGTTGTATTCGGCGCATGTGACCAATAAAATTTGATTTGATTTGATTTGATAATGCCTGTTTGATTTGAAACCCATTTTGCAGCTATTCTTCCCATGTCACTGTAGAAGACAACTTGAAACAGAACTGTCATGGAGCTTCCTATGTTGCTTATTAGGGGAGGCTGTTACAAAAAGGCTATTTTTCCTGTTATGTCTGCCTTAATGTTATTACAAGCAAAGCAAAGCAAAAAGATGTGCTTATTGTTGTTAACACTAACTTGAAATGCTTTCTACCCAATAACAATTATAGCCATGGAACTTGAATACATATGTGATTCAAATGACATCGCTTGAAGACTTTTCAAATGTCACCTGTCTCTGTTACAGGAGTTTGGGGGTTCACTGCTCCAAGGTGCGCTCTCTAACGTTGGACTCATGGGAACCTGAGTTACTAAAGCTGATGTGCGAGCTGGGAAACAGTGTCATCAACCACATCTATGAAGGAGCATGTGAGGCGCAGGGCCTGAAGAAACCAGGGCCCTCAAGTTCCAGGTAAGAATTGCCACACAGCATTCAAATACCTCTAACTGGTTTCACCTGTGAAGATCCAGATTACCCACTAAGGGAGACTGGGATCTAGTCATTTTCATTAGACTGGGAATGTCCTCAGAGGTACAGTATGTGACACTGAATGCGTATTTCCTGTTATCCCCTACAGGCAGGAGAAGGAGGCATGGATCAAATCAAAGTATGTGGAGAAGAAGTTCCTGAAGAAGTTGGGGGCCACAGAGGTGCTTGTGAACGGCGGGCGGAAGTCGGAGCGCCGGTGGAGTGTGAAGAAGTGGCGGAGACACAACAGCGCCACCACAGTGCCCAAGACCCGACGGAAATACCGTCAGGAGCCGGGCAGCGCCTCCCCTGCCACCCTCTCCTCAGGTACCCTAATAGCTCTCCTGGATACCGTCCTCTTTCTCTCTTTGTATCCATATTCCTAATAGTGCTAAACCATATGTTGATTATGACAACCCAGTACATTTAACATTTAAACATTCCCTCCTTGTGCTTTACAGTCGCTTCAGCTCTAGAGAGAAAGTTCCGACGAGAGTCACTGTTTTGTCCAGACGAGCTGGACAATCTCTTCTCTTACTTCGACACAGGATCTGGGCCTCGTAGTAAGTTACTACCCATCTAATATACAGACACTACACCCTAAACCACAGAGATACCTGAATCCTTTATGTGGTGTGTAAAGTGAAATAGCTAGAAGCAACGGTGACTAACGTGCCCCTGGCTTGGCTCCTATTGGCCCTGCAGGTCTGAGCAGTGACAGTGGCCTGGGCGGCAGTACAGACGGCAGCACAGACATCCTGGTGTTCGGCTCAGTGGTGGACAGTGTCACAGAGGAGGGTAAGAAGATAAATACATACCTGTAAAAGATGGAATGGAATACAAAATGTACAACATATAGGTTCAGCCATCATATTTAGTATTGAAATGCCATTTTCAGAAACTTGATAATTGATCTCAGTCATCCTTATTTGCCCTTGAGGGCATAAATGAAGTTGTATTGAATCCTAGTTGTTGTTCTGCTTCTCTCTCTGCAGAGTGTGAGGTGTCGGAGGACTCTAGCGGAGAGGCTGAGATGGAGCCTGAGCCTGAGACCCAGTCGGACCCAGAGGATGGGCGTGAGCTCCACCCTGGGGCGCTGCTCTACAAGGCTTCCATGGCACGCAACCTGCCCATCATGGCTGAGGCGCTGGCCCACGGGGCTGACGTCAACTCCGTCAACGACGAGGATGATGGCAAGAGCCCACTCATACAGGCAGTGATTGGGGTGAGTCATTGTAATGAAAGGCAGGTGTGTTCTTAGCACACTGGCAAAGGCAGTTCTAGTCATTCACAATGAATTCCATGGATGCATTATGCTGAAACATCAATGCATACATCTATCCACACAGTATGTCTATGCATGATCACAATATTCTCTCACATTATATTGTGCTTTATTTGGCAACATGGAGAGAGCCTCAGAACCTTTGTGTGTTCCATTCCAGGGCTCTTTGATAGCCTGCGAGTTCCTGCTCCAGAATGCAGCTGACGTCAACCAAAGTGACGCAAGGGGGAGGGGGCCACTACACCACGCCACATATCTGGGACACACAGGGTGAGTAGGACCAAAGCATAACACGTTCCCTCTTCCTTACTATTGTCAATGTCTTGTTTTGTGACAATGGTGTAGCATGCAAAGCTGATTATTGTTCAGTTATTTTTTACATTCCAGTTGTTTCTCGGGTTAGTTAGCATACAAGACAAAGATGCTGAGTACAGATTTTTTTTAATGATGATTTGATGTGAGAGTGTTCAGTATGTTCCCGTCTGATCTGTCGCCATGCTGCCCTCTACAGGCAGGTGTGTTTGTTCCTGAAGAGAGGAGCCACGCAGAACGACGGGGACGAGGATGGCCAGGACCCTCTGAGTATCGCTGTGCAGGCAGCCAACGCAGACATCGTCACCTTGTGAGTTTCAGTGGGACACAACACCCTGTCCCTCAACGTACTCAGCCTCACCTTCACACGATCCTTTGAAATACATATTATGACCCCGGGTTAGCTTGGTAGACTACTGTAGCTCCTCACCTCTGGGAAGTTTGAGTGAATCCATCTAACAGTTTGTGTCCCATCCCTCCTTCTCTCCCCCCTCCCTTTCTTCCCAAAGGTTGCGTCTGGCCAGGATGAACGAGGAGATGCGGGAGTCGGAGGGACCGTTCGGCCAGCCAGGTCAATACCCAACCAGCAGCCCCACTGAACAGCAGTATAAGAAATGCATACAAGAGTTTATCTGTCTCCACATAGCTGAGTGCTAGAAGTCAGTCACAATACCTAGTCCTGGTCCAATTAATCAAGCTTTCCCATCAGGTGATGGTTGGAGGGGAAGCCAATAGTATACCAGGACTGTGGCAGGCCTGTCTGGAATCTTGTACAGGAAGGGACGTTGTCCAAAACACACCTTTCTTTATCAGATTCCCCACAGGCTGCTGTCTGTGTTCTACTAGACAACGTAGCAGCTAACTAACATTGTTCAAACGAGGCCGCACCAGAATTTGCCAACTACTATTCCCTCAGGTTCATCAACGGTATAGGATGTCAGTATTCTTAACTCTATCATGATGTCAAACTGTACTGTTGACTTAATGGCTAAATTTGCTCAGAGTTAGATCATTTGTCAACAAATGGTTAGGGACCAACTTTTTTTAATCGACTTCATAAGTTCATTTAAATCATCGTTACTATACCATCTGTACCCTGCTTATACCCATGTCACACTTAATTAATTCAGCTGCTCTTTATTCATTTGGAGAGGGGAGAGGTGTTTGCTTGTGGTCTTCAAGGTAGAGTGGTGTGCTCCAAACCAAAGACCAAATTAGGCCAATATGTTGCACATAACTATCATCAAGCTACCTGCTCATGTAAAAATACCAGATCGGCATATGGTAGTCTTGTCAAGGGTATACTATAAAAACAGACCTTATTCAATACCTTCATTTTAAGGCCTGTAAGTCGTTGTCTTTATATCTAGTCAGTTATTACAAACTTATGAATTCTGCTCCGGCTGTGTTGTGGCATGAGGTGGTTCTTTAGTACACACACATTGTTTTGAAAAGGGGTGATTAGAAGGGATAACAATGAACTGTGATTGAGACTAGATGATAGATGATATGTCATTAATGTGTACTTGTCTTGATTGAGACACTTTAAAGTAAAGCTTTTACATGGAATCTAAAGCGACATTATGCACTTTTCCTACCAACAATGATTTCATTTCTTTTTGGCATTTTCATTTAGTAGTGTAGGTTTTTACCTTCATTTATGAACTGCCCAGAGCAATAGTGCAATGATAATTTAAATACAGATAATGGTATTTTTTTAAACTGGATATATTTTGTTAGATTTTATTTTCCTGAGCACTCACACACAAGGTCACTTAACCTTTACTGTCATTTCTTCATGTCTCTTTTTGGAAAAGACAACCACAACTCACCATCTTATAATAGAAACCTTACACACTGCGATGAGACTGACCTTTTTAATATAATATTAAAACTGACATGTATTTGTATATGTTTGTATCATGGCTATACAGTATTAGATTAGTTGTGGGTTTCTTGGTTGAATAGTGCGTGGGTTGCTGTTGCCCAGGTCTTTCAAAACCCTGTTGGTTTTCTTTACTTCATTCATCTGTGTATGTTAATATTTGATATATTGTTCAAAGAAAATCATAACTGTGTAATGTGCTGCCAAATCATGAGAACTGTACAAAATAAGACATTGTAGAGGTTAGATCTGTAGTCTATGGTCAAACTGAACCAGATATATTGATAGGATACCCCATAACATACAGGCATAGTTGCCCATTGAATTTGACAGGCCATTTAGAACAGGAGAGAAAGCTTGGTCTATGCAAAACATGCTAGCTCCCCTGAATACCAACAGAATACCCCCTGCTATGTAAGCAAGGCCTGTGTACACACTTCACCTGATGTGTGTACACAGTCAGAGGGTGACCACAGTCCTCCATGTTTACCTTGATACTGTGCAGTTGCTTACTGACCTAACCACATGTATACATCATGTTCCAGAGCTGAAATAATCTTGATCAGGAAATTACATTAGTTGTCCTTGCTGTAGGCTAGTAACAACTGAGGTTTTGGCATTGCGTTTGGGTTGCTTGAGTTTACTTCAAGCCAAAGACCACATTACTTTCTTCAAGTCATTTATGAGCAGAAAATAAGTAAGCAGTAAAAAATATGAAACTTTCGAATATGTCTATTAAAATGACTGTTATACTATCAATTTCATTCTAGTTTTGGCTTCTACTGTGCAGTACATCATGATGAAAAGAGTAGAAGTAGATTATATTAGACTCAATGAAAGATCTGGGGACCAATGTTTTGACCAAACAATGCCAATGATTTGCATCAAACCACTAAAGGTTTACATACAGTGGGGGAAAAAAGTATTTAGTCAGCCACCAATTGTGCAAGTTCTCCCACTTAAAAAGATGAGAGAGGCCTGTAATTTTCATCATAGGTACACGTCAACTATGACAGACAAAATGAGAAAAAAAAATCCAGAAAATCACATTGTAGGATTTTTAATGAATTTATTTGCAAATTATGGTGGAAAATAAGTATTTGGTCAATAACAAAAGTTTCTCAATACTTTGTTATATACCCTTTGTTGGCAATGACACAGGTCAAACGTTTTCTGTAAGTCTTCACAAGGTTTTCACACACTGTTGCTGGTATTTTGGCCCATTCCTCCATGCAGATCTCCTCTAGAGCAGTGATGTTTTGGGGCTGTCGCTGGGCAACACGGACTTTCAACTCCCTCCAAAGATTTTCTATGGGGTTGAGATCTGGAGACTGGCTAGGCCACTCCAGGACCTTGAAATGCTTCTTACGAAGCCACTCCTTCGTTGCCCGGGCGGTGTGTTTGGGATCATTGTCATGCTGAAAGACCCAGCCATGTTTTATCTTCAATGCCCTTGCTGATGGAAGGAGGTTTTCACTCAAAATCTCATGATACATGGCCCCATTCATTCTTTCCTTTACACGGATCAGTCGTCCTGGTCCCTTTGCAGAAAAACAGCCCCAAAGCATGATGTTTCCACCCCCATGCTTCACAGTAGGTATGGTGTTCTTTGGATGCAACTCAGCATTCTTTGTCCTCCAAACACGACGAGTTGAGTTTTTACCAAAAAGTTATATTTTGGTTTCATCTGACCATATGACATTCTCCCAATCCTCTTCTGGATCATCCAAATGCACTCTAGCAAACTTCAGACGGGCCTGGACATGTACTGGCTTAAGCAGGGGGACACGTCTGGCACTGCAGGATTTGAGTCCCTGGCGGCGTAGTGTGTTACTGATGGTAGGCTTTGTTACTTTGGTCCCAGCTCTCTGCAGGTCATTCACTAGGTCCCCCCGTGTGGTTCTGGGATTTTTGCTCACCGTTCTTGTGATCATTTTGACCCCACGGGTGAGATCTTGCGTGGAGCCCCAGATCGAGGGAGATTATCAGTGGCCTTGTATGTCTTCCATTTCCTAATAATTGCTCCCACAGTTGATTTCTTCAAACCAAGCTGCTTACCTATTGCAGATTCAGTCTTCCCAGCCTGGTGCAGGTCTACAATTTTGTTTCTGGTGTCCTTTGACAGCTCTTTGGTCTTGGCCATAGTGGAGTTTGGAGTGTGACTGTTTGAGGTTGTGGACAGGTGTCTTTTATACTGATAACAAGTTCAAACAGGTGCCATTAATACAGGTAACGAGTGGAGGACAGAGGAGCCTCTTAAAGAAGAAGTTACAGGTCTGTGAGAGCCAGAAATCTTGCTTGTTTGTAGGTGACCAAATACTTATTTTCCACCATAATTTGCAAATAAATTCATTAAAAATCCTACAATGTGATTTTCTGGATTTTTTTCCCTCAATTTGTCTGTCATAGTTGACGTGTACCTATGATGAAAATTACAGGCAGTACAGTGTATCGGAGTCAGTGGATTGACTAAACCATAGGTTGACTAGGTGACTGCTATGCTGTAAATAGGCAAAACAAGTATTACTACTTAAAACTGCTTGCTTGAAACATGCAACTTTTAACTTTCCTGTATTTTTGTTTTTGTTTCTGACTAATTACCTCTGTACATGTTCTTTGTATATTGTTAGAGAACACGCGTCTCTGAATATCTTTGTGTAACTTACACCACTGCTACCTTTTTATGTTCATTTCCTTTTCCTAATGTCTTCTAAAATTAGGAAATACTGAAAATAAATGGAAGATGTGACTCATTCAACGCCTAACTTCTCCCGCTTATTGCTTCATTTCTTCTGTTCTTTCTATAGCACTGTTCTAACACCCTCTGTCACTACAACTAACTGCATTTACTTGAACTGGCAGTGCACTTATGAGTCAACCACTTACGTCTAAGGTGAAGACATAACACCACGGCACACATTTTCAGACATTAGAAAACCTGTCCTCTGACATTCAACTCATTTCTATGATCAATCCAGTTTGCCCCATAACATTGATGATTTACAAAACCCCACTTGTTTCAGCGCTTTATCAAATGTTTTCAATTTGTTTCATAAATCGATTCTCAACCGTTTATTTGAAAGGCCTGTGAATTGGCCCCTGTAGTTGGTGTGCTGCCCATTTGCCCATTCATCATAGACACTCACAGGCAGACTGGAATGTTCTTCTTCCCTCTTTTTTATTAGTCAAGCTGATCATTTCTTGGGGTAGAAAGGAGTTTGAATGGCTGTCGCCATGGTCACCAGAAAAGTAAAGTTTGAGAATTTGGAAATAGATTGGGTGAAGCCAAGCGTCATGGTGACAAGACTATGGTTTTGTTCCTCTGCTGATGTGGTATCTAGATTCGAGGCGGTTGTTTTTAAAATATTTTTTTCCAGGTTTTGAACAATAGATGTCATGTTTTTTGACACAAATTCCACATTATTTTATGGCAGGCCTACTGTTATTTAACAGATCAATTCAAATGCAATTCTTGACGATAATGTTCTGTTACATTCCTATCTATTTTCAGGAGACTCTACTTACCTTGACATCTTTCGAGAGTTTTCTCACATGGCCTCCCACAACCCAGAGAAGCTGAAGCGGAGGAGTGTACATTTCAGACACTCCTTCAGGTAGCCCACGGACGGATGAGATGTCTGGGAGGTCATATTTGAAGAGTGCAACAGTCACTTTCCTTATATCATTACAGATTTGAATAGTGAGTCTATCCCCCTCATATTCAGAATCCTCTCAGATCCCCAACTCGTAAATGTTCTTCACAAATGAGAACCACTATTGCGTTCTTTCAAATTGCCCTACTACAGGTACTATCTCTACTAATAGTACCAATACTGCCTCACACTAAATTACTCCACTCATCTTAATGGTGAAACCACTTCTGTCAACATGCACTACAGTATATGGGAGATGCTTAGAAATGTTGCCTCTAAAAAACATAGGCCTACAGGTATGGGCGACGCTATTAAAAACATCTGTGAATTCCTAGATGCTGTTCATGACATGTATTACTTATTTGACAGAAGATATTGATGCTTTCAGCAATTGGGAAGCATGTTTTGTTGGAGAATGCTGTATGTTACAAATGTGTGAGATGCATATTCTGTCATCAAATCAGTCATTTGTTTTGATAACTTTTTGTAATGTAGCTTGTACTTGCTTTATGAGGATTTGCTGGACTTGTCCTCTCCTATTAGCTGTATGACATTATTTTTAAGCGTTGCTGTTAAATGTTGTTAAATGTTAACTTTAGATAAATCCAAGCACTTAACAGTTTCTTATCCTGTGTTCTAGATAGATATCAGGAGTTGTTGAGCATTATGATAATTCTTCTTCTTTGTGTGCTCAGATCAGCTTGATTATTTTGTTCAATGTACTAGACTCATTATAGAAGGAATAACAGCATATAATTTTTTGTATTCAGCTGTGTGTGTAATGCATGCCTTTGGTCCATTTCTTGAATTAATCAGCAATGTCTACACTATAGCCTATAGGCTTGCAGCTCACTTAGGCTGAATGGCTAGGGTTGTTTACTGTGGATACCATCCAGTTCTTTGAAATGTATTGTAATGTCAGTATTATTTTTCAAATAAGTTTTTTTTTTTTTCCTGGAACTATATGGAAGGTGATATTTGATTTTGACTATGCTGGTATAGTCTTAATATTTTGTTAAAATGTAATGTAGAATGTCTTTATATTCATACCATGAATTTCAATGCAGATATTCTATATAAACGCTGTAGAGGCAAAATGCTAATATATCTCAAAGGGATGTTATTTTGTCTTGAATATTTTTGAAAGATGTACAGTATGCCTCTTATTTTGTGAAACTAAAGAAAGTCTGTTAAAACTGACACATTTGTGTTCACAGCGGTTCCTTCCCTGACTGTAAGTAAAACAATGACCCAAGACTGATCAGTCCATATTTCTGAAACAAATTACATTTAATATAATTTAAACTAAAATAACAACCATTGGCTGGCAGCCCTCTGAGGATGACTTGAGTTTAAGAGTCAGGATGCGTCATAAAAGGGCAGTTTGAGATACTGATACCAGTGCTTGAGCTGTCGGGGTAGGAGCTGGAAGACGTTCTCAGTGAGAAACATCAGAGCATCTTGCATGGCTGGTCGGAGAAGCTGATTCGTTGGCAGAGAGAGAACGAGGAGGCAAAATTTCTCCTATAAACAAGAACAGGGTTTCTTTTTTAATGAATGGTCAGTCATACCCTAACAATCCACAAACAAACTCTGATACACTGATACAAGTGTTCAAAAAAAGAAATTAGCCATGAATCTATTCACTTCCAGAGAATTTGGATGGATTACCTTTGAGTAGGGCAACTTCTTGTGAGAGAAGTTGTGGAATTGGCCGATCTTCTGCAGGATGGTCCTGTACTCAAAGTCCCTGTCATCGGACAGTTCTGAGACATCGCTCTTCAGGATTTTGTACCTAAGAAAAAATGTCAACATTTACTGTATTTCACATTCATTTTCCCATGAACAAGTGCCACATAGTAGGCTAACATAGAACAGGAAATCACCAAAATAAAAGCGCAGATTTTGGTTCCCTGAGCTCATGTTTTAGGGAGGAAAGCAGCATATGTAGACATGTCTCTTTCCTTGAGGCCATCAACGCATCCAGGAGAGTCCTCATTCTCTCCTCTCGGTGTCTAAACAAAACAAATTAAACATACTGAGCCTATACTTTACATTTTATCACTTGCATTTATGTTTTGATCAAACCATTTTTTTTTTATGAGAGGAAAAGTCTAAGATTACACAGGCCTATATTGGAATCATTACAACAACTTACATTTTCTTCTCAAACATGTCTGTCTCCATCTGATTGTTCATAGATCTCTGGATTTCGATGAACTTTGTTCTGACACGTTCCAGCATATCATGTCTGTTCTTTGGTCTGAAAAAAATGTCAAGATTGTATATCTACATTCTACTCTCATGAATGTCTTAAACCCTGGCCACTGATACTCACTTCTGAGGATCCTTCTCATATGTGGCTGTGGAAAGTAAATAGTAGATATCAGTATCAAGCTGACTTTCAGACCCAAGTAAACCGTTATATGCCGTTTATACTGAAGTGTCATTATATTGTCCTTATATATTTGTTATACTGCAAATCAAAATGGTTTTGTACTAACTTTTCTCATCCAAGAGCAGGTTCAGCCAAGGAGGTAGGTCCCCAGTTTCATTCTCTATCTCCTTTAGACCTGCCTTCCTTCTGAGTCCAAACTGGACAGGCTTACAACTGCAATGTTTTAAGGTGGAATTGACCATTAAACTTTAATTAATTAGGGGTGGCAATTAGCCTAGAGGTTAAGAGTATTGGGACAGTAACCGAAAGGTTGCTGGTTTGAACCCCAGAGCCGACTAGGTAAAACAATCTGTCGATGTGCCCTTGAGCAAGGCACTTAACCCTAGTTGCTCTGGGTAAGAGCATCTGCTAAATGACATATATGGATTTTAACCAATGTACTGTATGTATTACATTTCTTACCCAGCAAACTTAGCGGAGGGTGATTTTGGCTCTGAAGAACAAAAACAAATACCATTAAAAACAATGATAGTACCGTTATTCCCCTGAAGATCTGTGGTCAATGTTACTACCTTGGTCTTGGTGATTGATGAATGACTCCCACAAGTCTGGGTTGATGTTCATGTCCTCAGGTGCAAATGGAATCAGACACCTGACAACATAGAATCACATCTGAATTATTAAAATAAAAAATTGTTAAACAGCTTTCATTTGAATGCAGTTAAATCAAGAAGGTTACCATACACTAGCTATTTAGGTTTTGTAAGTCAATGGGTATTGTAAGAGGTGATATAAATAGGTTTAGTTTGGTTACCTCTGAGAGCTCTTCAAAAGAACATTGGTTTTATCTGTGTCTTTCATGATGATGTTCACATACCCACTTGTAAGAGGCAACTTGGTGAGAAATACAGAACTTTACTGTACAATTGTGTCATTTATTATAACAACAAATGAACCCTGAATGAACACTGAATGTCACCCACCAGTGTTTTCAGGTCTCTATTCCTCATGTTGGTTAAGCCACAAAGTATCTTGTAGATCCACTGAAGCTTCTCTATTATGTGCTCGTCCCTCCTGAATTTGATCCTTCTGTATAAAACGTAAAATATGGTATTGACGCCCCTGAAGGTCGGTTATAACATAGCCATTAAAGAAAGTGTTGGTGCAATAAAAAATATGATTTGTTAAAAATCATTTACACACCTTAATATTTCCTCTTCTGCTGGATCAAGAGCATGCTGGTTTATTGACATGGTGCATGCTATATCTTTATTAGCAACAGGGGGAGTGAAGGGAAGAACATAGTTGGCAACAACACACACAGTTGCAGCTATTTTCTCCACTTATAAAGGGACAGATATATTCCAAATGTTAGCATAGGCCTACCTGCAGCAATCTTGTCATTAGTAGATCTGGGTGAGGTTTTCTTTGGTATGGGTGGAAGTCTATCCTATTAAATACAGAAACGTGATGTTACATTAAAACTGTTCCATCGATAGATTGATAATTCATTCCTATAGAGTAGGTAGCTAAAATACCTGGTCCCTCAAGCAAATTACCAAAGGACGCCCTGTGTTCAAAGCTTGTTTCATGGAGGACATCTCTTTGAGGTACTGTTTCAGATGTAAAAACCCATTTTCAGTTTGTGCGGCCATGGAGGGTAGAGATCTGACGTGGTCATCCTCTAAATGAAATGTAACCAAATCTATTAGCTATATCCTCCTGTGCTTTAAAAAAAATCCGGATCAGCTCAGTGGATAAATAGAAAGTCATACAAACAGTAGGATACTCTAACAGCCAAGGCAAGTTGAAATCATTAGATTGTATTTTTAGACGAATATCCCTTTAAATTAGCTCGCTAACTACGTCACAGATTGTGTTATGCTAACCTGGCTAGCTAGCTTGCTAACGATATTTTATATATGGTTTTCACACTGTTTAACTTCTCTGAAGCGACTGAAATTAACATTATTGTTGAAGTTGCTTAAACGTTGGTTAACGTTTCCTACCTTTGCTGTGGTGTGTTTTGTTATTTCTATTATGGCTAATGCTAACTCTTCTCGACATCGCCAAGGCCACCATCTGAGCATGCGCGCGGCACTAAAGCGATAAGAAAGACAGTAAACTATGAAGATAGAAATCCTTGATCACACTTGTTAACTATGTCATGGCTACGTTGGCTAGCTAAACCAGATTGGATTAGTTATAAAAAATATTTGGCTAAACTCATGTGTAGAAATACGTAATCGGATCTAACGGTCGTCTCGCGCAGAACGGCGCATGTGCAAGCCGTCAAATCAAAGTTACTCCTTCGATATATAGTTGTTTTTGACGAAAATGAAAACGTGTCAGTTTGTCATTTCCACGAGGTTGGCGTAATAACATGCTCAACTACTTAAGACATTGTCTCGAATCTAGGTTTTGCCTTTAGATTTCGAGAAAATTAACAACTAAGGAATCATTTTTCACTTCTCTCATTGACTTCTCCAACCCCGGCTTTGTCTGTTTCGCATGCGTTCCCGGAATTCTCGCGATGTGGCTCCTCTGGGTTTAGAAACTCTGTGGCGGGACCATGGATTATATTTCATCGTTCCTCCTAGTCAAATATTTTATTTTATTTGGTCTCTTAAAAATTGTAGCTACCACAAACACCACGCAGAGGCGGGGATGTTTCTTCTGATCTTTTCAATGATTGTTTCTGTTTAGTCTAAAATGTAATCCTGAGATTCTTTTTAGGAGACAACAATTTATCACGCGTTTGTTTCTAATCCTTACGGTAATACTTCAGCGCTTCTAGTGCTACAGTTATGCAGTTGATTTGTTATGGCTGGATGGGATGGGTCTATCCTGCTGTTTTTGCAGTCAGTTTGACATTTTCTAGTTACCTCTAAATTATGTGATGTCGTGTGATATCCTCGTGTTGTTATTATGATGTCCCGGTTAATGGTGTGAGAGCTGCATGAAGTTCGCATTAGCTGGAATCTTCGCTAGTATCTGGCTGCAACTAGTTAGCTATGAGGCCTGTTGTTTTGGGAAATCGATCGGACCTGCAGGACTAAACCAAACACAGGTGACGTTTACCTATGCAATATGTTATTTTCCGGTTGTTGACAAACAGTTTTCCATAAGCGTCCTTAGCCTAGCTAGTTGCTTTGTGCCGCATAACACAGCCTGGGACCATTATTTACAGAACACTTTGACGAAACACTAACGTTAGCTACAGTTTGCAAATGTTGCTCAAATGGTTTGAACTGTTATATCTATTACAACAATGTAAGATTGCTAGTTAACACCAGCTGTCAGTTTATGACGATAGAGAGGTAGCCAGCTACCAATAATCTCTATCTATTTGCCTCCCATTTTGCGTAGACATGGATTCCCAGCTCCATGTTTTCTCCTCTCCCTCAGTCTCCTCCAGCGCCTACACTCGCACCAAGAAACTGAAGGTAGAGAACAGTGTGTGGGATGTGAGCAGCCAGGTGGGAGACAACAACAACACTTACTACCAGCAGGGCTCCATCCGGGGGAATGGAAACACATCATCCCACTCTGCATCAAGTTTCAACCCAGCATACAACACCTCCAACTCCAACCAGGGGTATCCATCAATGGGGGGAGGCTCCCGGGAGCAGACAGTCGTACGGGCAGCAGACAGCACCGGCAGCATCCGAGGACCCCCTTCCTCTTCATCTTCCTCCTCCACCAGTCACCATGTCAAGGATTCTGCATCCTCCTCCCAGCCAGTTGACCTATACCACAAGCAGTACAGTAACAGCCTGAAGAGGAAGAGTGAGGAGGTGGACAGCAGTGATAGTGTTCAGATCCTGGAGGAGCTCTCTGCCCCTGTGCTCTCCAACCACCCCGCCGCTGGTGGGGGGACCACCACAGCCCAGTCAATAGCACATTCCACCTCCACCACTAAGAGTACTAACTCCCACAGTGAGGGGGACTACCAGCTAGTGCAGCATGAGATTCTATGCTCTGTGTCCAACAGTTATGAGGTGCTGGAGTTCCTAGGGAGAGGTACGTTTGGCCAGGTGGCTAAATGCTGGAAGCGTGGCACCAATGAAATCGTGGCCATCAAGATCTTGAAGAATCATCCTTCATATGCCCGGCAAGGTCAAATTGAGGTTAGTGTGACAAAGCAGAAGTGACTTTCTTGTAAGCTTTAACCAGATAAATTAGGCTGTCTGGTCAGAGCTTCAATTGAATTTGAAAATTGTAAAGGTACCATACATGTGTACATTTTGTAAAAGTTTGGGAAGGAGATGACGATAAAAATAATTTAACACATCTACAGTGCCTTCAGAAAGTATCAACACTCCTTGACTTTTTCCACATTTTGTTGTGTTATAGCCTGAATTTAAAATTGATTAAATTGAGATTTTGTGTCACTGGCCTACACACAATACCCCATTGTCAAAGTGGAATTATGTTTTCAGAAATGTTTACAAATTCATTAAAAAATGAAAATCTGAAATGTTTTGAGTCAATAAGTATTCAGCCCCTTTGTTATGGCAAGCCTACATAAGTTCAGGAGTAAACATTTGCTTAACGAGTTGCAAATCAAATCAAATTGTATTTGCCACATGCGCCAAATACAACAGGTGTAGACCTTACAGTGAAATGTTTACTTACAGGCCCTTAACCAACAATGCAGTTTTAAGAAAAGAAAAAAAGTCTTAAGTAAAAAATAGATAAGTAAAAAATAGCAAATAATTAAAGAGCAGCAATACAATTACAGTAGGGAGGCTATATACAGGGGGTACCGGTACAGAGTCAATGTGCGGGGGCACCGGTTAGTCGAGGTAATTGAGGTAATATGTATGTGGGTAGAGTTAAAGTGACTATGCATAGATAATAAACAGAGTAGCAGCAGCGTAAAAGAGGGCGTGGGGTGGGGGGGCAATGCAAATAGTCCGGGTAGCCATGATTAGCTGTTCAGGAGTCTTATGGCTTGGGTGTAGAAGCTGTTAAGAAGCCTTTTGGACCTAGACTTGGCACTCCGGTATCGCTTGCCATGCGGGAGCAGAGAGAACAGTATATGACTAGGGTGGCTGGAGTCTTTGACAATTTTTAGAGCCTTCCTCTGACGCCACCTGGTATAGAGGTCCTGAATGGCAGGATGCTTGGCCCCAGTGATGTACTGGGCCGTATGCACTACCCTCTGTAGTGCCTTGCGGTCGGAGGCCGAGCAGTTGCCATACCAGGCGGTGATGCAACCAGTCAGGATGCTCTCGATGGTGCAGCTGTATAACTTTTTGAGGATCTGAGGACCCATGCCAAATCTTTTCAGTCTCCTGAGGGGGATTAGGCTTTGTCTTGCCCTCTTCATGACTGTCTTGGTGTGTTTGGACCATGATAGTTTGTTGGTGGTGTGGACACCAAGGAACTTGATGCTCTCAACCTGTTTCACTACAGCCCTGTCGATGAGAATGGGGGCGTGCTCAGTCCTCTTTTTTTTTCCTGTAGTCCACAATCATCTCCTTTGTCTTGATCACGTTGAGGGAGAGGTTGTTATCCAGGCACCACACGGCCAGGTCTCTGACCTCCTCCCTATAGGCTGTCTCATCGATGTCGGTGATCAGGCCTACCACCGTTGCATCGTCGGCAAACTTAATGATGGTGTTGGAGTCGTGCCTGGCCATGCAGTCATGGGTGAACAGGGAGTACAGGAGGGGACTGAGCACGCACCCTTGAGGGGCCCCCGTGTTGAGGATCAGCGTGGCAGATGTGTTGTTACATACCCTTACCACCTGGGGGCGGCCCGTCAGGAAGTCCAGGATCCAGTTACAGAGGGAGGTGTTTAGTCCCAGGGTCCTTAGCTTAGTGATGAGCTTTGAGGACACTATGGTGTTGAACGCTGAGCTGTAGTCAATGAATAGCATTCTCAGGTATGCATGGACTCTGTGTGCAATAATAGTGATTAACATGATTTTTGAATGACTACCTCATCTCTGTACCCCACACATACAATTATCTGTAGGATCCCTTAGTCAAGCATTGAATTTCAAACACAGATTCAACCACAAAGACCAGGGAGGTTTATCAATGCCTTGCAAAGGGCACCTATTGGTAGATGGATAAAAAAACAGACATTAAATATCCCTTTGAGCATGGTGAAGGTATTAATTACACTTTGGATGGTGTATCAATACACCCAGTCACTACAAAGATACAGGCGTCCTTCCTAACTCAGTTGCCAGAGAGGAAGGAAACTGAGGATTGATCAACATTGTAGTTACTCCATAATACTAACTTAAATTACAGATTTGAATAGAAGGAAGCCTGTACAGAATACAAATATTGCAAAACATGCATCCTGTTTACAATAAGGCACAAAAATAAAACTGCAAAAATGTGGCAAATAAATTAATTTTATGTCCTGAATACAAAGTGTTATGTTTGGGGCAAACACAACACATCACTGAGTACCACTCTTCATATTTTCAAGCATGGTGGTGGCTGCATCATGTTATGGGTATGCTTGTCATCGCAAGGACTAGGGAGTTTTTTTGTTTTGGATAAAAATAAACAGAATAGAACTAAGCACAGGCAAAGTACTAGAGGAAAACCTGGTTCAGTCTGCTTTCCAACAGACGCTGGGAGACAAATTCACCTTTCAGCAGGACAATAACCTAAAACACAAGGCCAAATATACACTAGAGTTGCTTATCAAGATGACGTTGAATGATCCTAGTTACAGTTTTGACTTAAATCAGCTTGAAAATCTATGGCAAGACTTGAAAATGGCTGTCTAGCAATGATCAACAACCAACTTGACAGAGCTTGAAGAATTTTAAAAGAATTATGTGCAAATATTGTACAATCCATATGGCAAAGCTCTTAAAAACATACCCAGAAAGACTCACAGCTGTAATCGCTGAAAGGGGTTTGAATACTTATGTAAATGAGATATTTCTCTATTTACATTTCAATAAATTTGCTAAAATGTCTAAAAACATGTTTGACTTTGTCATTATGGGTTATTGTGTGTAGATGGGTGAGAAAAATGTTTGATTTAATCCGTTTTGAATTATGGTTGTAACACAACAAAATGTGGAATAAGTCAAGGGGTAGGAATTCTTTCTGAAGGCTCTGTGTCTGCCATCCTCCTCCTGCAGGTGAGTATCCTGAGCAGGCTGAGCACAGAGAATGCAGACGAGTTCAACTTTGTGCGTTCCTACGAGTGTTTCCAACACAAGAACCACACCTGTCTCGTGTTTGAGATGTTGGAGCAGAATCTCTATGACTTCCTGAAGCACAGCAAGTTCAGCCCGCTGCTGCTCAAGTCTATCCGGCCTGTGCTGCAGCAGGTACGATACAATACAATTAATTATTATCCATAAAGGGGAAATTGTCTTGAACACTTTTGTAGTACTGCACAATACTACTATATGCAAAATAACACAATACGCACAATACACTGTACATATTGCACGTTACCCATATCATACACATCTTGTACAGCCACATACATAATACATACAGTGCCTTCGGAAAGTATTCAGACCCCTTGACTTTTTCCACATTTTGTTGCATTAAAGCCTTCTAAAATGGATTACATTTTAAAAACATCCTCAGCAATCTACACACAATACCACATAATGACAAAGCGAAAACAGGTTTTTAGAAATGTTTGCACATTTATTAAAAATAAACAACAGAAATACCTTATTTACATAAGTATACAGACCCTTTGCTATGAGACTCGAAATTGAGCTCAGGTGCATCCTGTTTCCATTTATCATCCTTGAGATGTTTCTACAACTTGGTTGGAGTCCACCTGTGGTAAATTCTATTGATTGGACATGATTTAGAAAGGCACACACCTGTCTATATGAGGTCCCATAGTTGTCAGAGCAAAAACCAAGACATGAGGTCGAAGGAATTGTCCGTAGATCTCCGAGACAGGATTGTGTCAGGCCTTTATGGTAGAGTGGCCAGACGGAAGCCACTCCTCAGTAAAATGCACATGACAGCCCGCTTGGAGTTTGCCAAAAGGCTCCTAAAGACTCTCAGACCATGAGAAACAAGATTCTCTGGTCTGATTAAACCAAGATTGAACTCTTTGGCCTGAATGCCAAGCATCACATCTGGAGGAAACCTGGCACCATCCCTAAGGTGAAGCATGGTGATGACAGCATCATGCTGTGAGGATGTTTTTCAGCGGCAGGGACTAGGAGACTTGTTAGGATCGAGGCAAAGATAAACAAAGTAAAGTACAGAGAGATCCTTGATGAAACCTGCTCCAGAGCACTCAGGACCTCAGACTGGGGCAAAGGTTCACCTTCCAACAGGACAACGACCCTAAGCACACAGCCATGATAACGCAGGAGTGGCTTCAGGACAAGTCTCTGAATGTCCTTGAGGCCTAGCCATAGCCCGGACTTGAACCCGATCTAACAACTCTGGAGAGACCTGAAAATAGCTGTGCAGCAACGCTCCCCATCCAACCTGATAAAGCTTGAGAGGATCTGCAGAGAAGAATGGGAGAAACTCCCCAAATAAATTTACATTACATTTTCGTCATTTAGCAGACGCTCTTATCCAAAGCGACTTACAAATTGGTGCATTCACCTTATGATAGCCAGTGGGACAACCACTTTACAATATTTTTTTTTGTGTGACTTCTTTTAATTTTATTTTAATTTCTTTCCTTTGGGGTGGGGTAAGGGGGGGTAGAATGATTACTTTATCCTATCCCAGGTATTCCTTAAAGAAGTGGGGTTTCAAGTGTCTCCGGAAGGTGGTGAGTGACTCTGCTGTCCTGGCTTCTTGAGGGAGCTTGTTCCACCATTGGGGTGCCAGAGCAGCGAACAGTTTTGACTGGGCTGAGCGGGAACTGTGCTTCCGCAGAGGTAGGGGGGCCAGCAGGCCAGAGGTGGATGAACGCAATGCCCTCGTTTGGGTGTAGGGACTGATCAGAGCCTGAAGGTACGGAGGTGCCGTTCACCTCACAGCTCCGTAGGCAAGCACCATGGTCTTGTACAGCTGTGCCAAGCTTGTAGCGTCATACCCAAGAAGACTTGATGCTGTAATCGCTGCCAAAGGTGCTTCAACAAAGTACTGAGTAAAGGGTCTGAATACTTATGTAAATGTTATATTTCTGTTTTTTATTTTTAATAAATTAGCAAGAATTTCTAAAATACTGTTTTTGCTTTGTCATTATGGGGTATTGTGTGTAGATTGATGAGGGGGAAAAAATAATTAAATCAATTTTAGAATAAGGCTGTAACGTTACAAAATGTGGAAAAAGTAAAGGGGTCTGAATACTTTCCGAAGGCACTGTGTATATATGTCTTTACACTGCCACGTGTATCATCAGGTGGCCACGGCCCTGTTGAAGCTGAAGAGCCTGGGTCTAATCCATGCTGACCTGAAGCCTGAGAACATCATGCTGGTGGATCCTCTCAGACAGCCCTACAGGGTGAAGGTCATCGACTTCGGCTCCGCCAGCCACGTTTCTAAGGCAGTGTGTTCCACCTACCTGCAGTCACGCTACTACCGGTGAGTGCCAGTCAGGTTTGGGGTCAATTCCATTTAGATTCAATCAATTCAGGAAGTAAACGGAATATTCCAATAAGTAAAATCGGCATTGGAATTTCAGTTTACTTCTTGAATTGACTGAATACAAATTTAATTGAGCCTAACCCTGGAGCAAGTGTCATTTTGTGGCACAAGATTCAACGTAGCCATGGATGTATTGCAGGCTCAATGTTATATACTCATGTTATCAACATGTCCAATGGTTTGTGTGTGTTGTTGCAGGGCGCCAGAGATTATCCTGGGCCTTCCCTTCTGTGAAGCTATAGATATGTGGTCCCTGGGCTGCGTCATTGCTGAACTGTTCTTGGGTTGGCCTCTTTATCCTGGTGCCTCAGAGTATGATCAGGTCAGCATCACCTCGTCTACTTTCAGTGAGACACTACACTGTCATCCATCATTGACATGTACTTGTTTCCTCCATTTTGTTGAAGTATCAGTCATACATGAAGTGGCTGGTTTCCCGGAAACAGGTTAAGTGTAGTCCTGGACTAAAAAGTTTGTTCAGTGGAGATTCCCATTTGAAGTGTTTTTTAGTCCAACACTAGGCTTAATCGGTATCTGGGAAACCGGCCCTAAGTCTGTTTGTGCCCAACCTCTGATTAACGCTGTTGCTTTCCCCTTGGCTTCATCAGATCCGGTACATCTCCCAGACCCAGGGCCTGCCTGCTGAATACCTCCTGAGTGAAGGCACCAAGTCCAGCCGCTTCTTCAACAGAGGCCCTGACTCCAGCTACCCCCTCTGGAGGCTCAAGGTAGGGAACATATTAGGAATCATTTACATTATAAACATGTATGTTTCAAGTTTTATTAGTTGTATGTACAGGATAAAGATGGTATACACCTTCCAACTAAATGCTTACTTGCAGGTTCCTTCTCGACAATGCAAATAATGCAAGATAAAGTAAATGGCTCAGTAGAATAGAATACATATTTTAGCATAAGTAAAATACAGGAAGGCAGGGGGGATTGAGGGGCAAGTGTTTAAATTGTGCAGTATTAGCAATAGTGGATAAGAGTCTGGTAGCGGGAATTGTGATGTGTGTGTGCATATTGATGACATATCTTGTTCACTGATGTATATTGTACATTATCTTTTTAATAGTATATATATTTTTTTTTTACATTTTCCTTTTGTCTGTAGACTCCTTCAGAGCACGAGGCGGAGCTGGGGATGAAGTCAAAGGAGTCTCGGAAATACATCTTCAACTGTCTGGATGATATGATGCAGGTGAGAGTGACTAGGTCGCCATTCATTCTATAAATCCATTCTTGTCATTAATGTTTTGTATTAGGCTTATAAATTGGTATGTTGCATATCTCCAATTTATTTTATTTCTTCAGAGGAGACTTGGATGTTTAAAGCTGCAATATGCAACTTTTTGGGCGACCGACCAAATTCACATAGAAATGTGTGTTATAGACCAGTCAATCTCATTGAAAGCAAGTCTAAGAAGCTGTAGATCTGTTCTATGTGTGCTATTTCTATGCTTCCTGTTCTTAAGTTTCGTTTTTTGCTTTCGGCTTTGTACACCAGCTGCAAACATTTTATATTTTTGGTTATGGAAAATTAATTTCACAGCGGTTTAGACGGTACAATGATTCTCTACACTATGCTGCCACAAACTGAAATTAGGAGAATTTTAGCAACCAGGAAATGGCAGAGCGATTTCTGCATAGTGCATCTTTAAATGTTTACATTTTAGTCATTTAGCAGACACTCTTATCCAGAGAAACCAACTTTCTGTATGTTATGGCAGGTGAACATGACTAGTCTGGTGGGGACTGATGTCCAGGCAGAGAAGGCGGACCGGAGAGAGTTTATTGACCTGCTGAAGAAGATGCTAACGCTGGACGCAGACAAACGCATCACCCCGATGAAGACCCTCAACCACCCCTTCGTCACCATGACCCACCTGCTGCATTTCCCTCACAGCTCACAGTAAGTAGAGGATCGTCAGGACTATTGTATTGTGGCATTTATGTCAAATGCAATTTAAATAAAATTCTATTTGATTTCATATTAGTTTTTTTTGCCAAAGAGCTCTTACACACGATAACCCAGGATTAGGACAGCTTTGCAAATCTCCTTGTTTTTCTCTTCGAGATAAAACTTGTATGATTTTTCAGGCTTCTCTTCTCATCAAATCAAATGTATTTATAAAGCCCTTTTTACATCAGCACAAAATGCTTATACAGAAACCCAGCCTAAAACCCCAAACAGCAAACAATGTAGATGTAGAAGCACGGTGGCTAGGAAAAACTCCCTAGAAAGGCAGACACCTAGGAAGAAACCTAGAGAGGAACCAGCCTCTGAGGGGTGGCCAGTCCTCTTCTGGCTGTGCCGGGTGGAGATTATAAGAGTACAGAGTACCTTGCTCCTTTAGATTCACATATGCCTTGATATTTCTTCTTCTTTTTCAGTGTGAAGTCGTACTTCCAGAACATGGACATATGCAAGCGAAGGGTCAGCCCTTTCGAGAATGGAAAGAATCTGTTTTCTAGCAACAACACCCCCAGTGCAGCTACAAACCTCACTGTTACATTTAGCAGCCAGCTCAACCAGCACAACCAGGTGAGACCTAAGGATATTTCCCCCCTTAAGCTAATATCTTGTATCGTCAGACTTACTCAGCAAGTCCTAGCATGAACATTTTACAGCACATAAAGTGTGTAAGTGAAATGTGATGAATGGTTATGTCATGTTATCCACACCATGTCAGATGGCGTCACCCGGTGGCCAGTCCCTATCCCTGAGCAGCAACATCCCTCTGCTGAACTACCAGCCGGGGCTGTACCAGCAGGCTACCATTAACATCCCAGGTCTCCACCAGCAGAGTGTCCCTCTGCAGAACAGACCCACCCAGCTGTGTGGCCAAGCTGAGCCCTTCCAGCAGACTCTCATAGTCTGCCCACCCACCATCCAGGGTGAGAACAGATGGGGCAGGGTTATAACAATAGTTTGTTTGCCTCTTTTGCTGAACTCGAATGAAGACCAAATTCATGTTGCAGCTAAGGAAATATATTGTAATGTGGGAGACCGCTTTCAGTGATACATGTTGTGTAGACTTATGTGATGTAAAACACAGGAGGATCTGAACTTCATAATGTTGATGTTGTCCAATTGTCCTTAGTTAGATGTAATGTCTGCAATCTGCATCTGCAGAGCTGTATGCATTACATTGTAACTAATCTACCGCCTTCATTTCTTCTTAGGCCTCCAGTCATCCGGTAAACACTCTGGGTTGCCAGTGAGGATGGATAACTCTGTTCCCATGGTGCCCCAGAACCAGTCCACTCAGCCTCTACATCTCCAGCCTGGAATGCTCACACAGGTACAGTAAGACTGAGTGCTGCATGACCACCCACCCACAGCTTGACTCCATGTGTGTCCATTGAAATCCTATGAATAACCAGAGTAATATTGACAGGATTCATCACACCAAGGTGTTTAGCCTCCTTAACATCCTCTCCTTTCTTTGCGTATCAGTCTGACTGATTGGTGAAGGGATGTGGAGATCGGATTTACCTTCCCTGTCTAGTTATCTAACCCCTACATCCCTACCTCAAACCTCCTCCCCACCAGGAATCCTGCAATCCATTGATGGTAGCCACCCTGCATGCCCCTGTGGCAGGAATGGCCCCTCTGTATTCACTGCCCCTGGGCTGTGGGGCTGGAAGGCCTGGCCTACTGGAACAGAGCCCCACCATGCTGGTAAAGCACCAACACTGCTACCCAACTGTTGCCCCTGTCTCCTCTGTACCCTTTTCTCCCCCGACACGTCAGGGGTGGGCAGAGCATGGGACGCATGTACTGCTGCTTACTCTGGTCTGTGCTTGCAGCATCTAATCTCTCCTTTTATCCTCCCCTTCTAAAAAGAGAGCTTCTGCATTATGATACAGAGACAGCTGAATTTTCCGGAAGTCTTGCTGAAATGTAAATAGATTTAACCAAATGTAAATTTGCCCTTCATCACTGCAACCTTTGGAACCCCTGTTGATTCAAAATGTCAATGACGTTGCTTTGGTCCTGGAATCGTGCAGCAGACATGAGAAATACCACCTTAGAATGCTGCCCCTTGATTGTCTGTCATTCCTCTGAGTTTCAGGTCTTAAACCACCTTCTCAGTTCCACAGAACTGTCTTCCAGGGCATGTCTGCTTGGCTTGAGAGAATGAACAGTTTTTTTCTTCTGTCAGTTGGAGTGCCGGTTTAATGGTGTTTTGATTTCAAACCTATTTCCCTCCTCAGTGGTAACTATTGAGCTTTTCTCTGTTCGGGTCATGCTTTGGAAGTCTGGGGAACAGAGCCAATCATAGGATGTTTTTCTTTCTCCTCTGAATTTGAGCTTGACTCAGTGGGGGCCTGCTGGATGCCTATAGCTTGACTCAGTGGGGGCCTGCTGGATGCCTATAGCTTTCCATGTATGACAGGAGCAGACACTGAATCATGTCGGTCTACAAACTGCATGTGCTCGTCATGCCTCTGCCCAGTGGTTCTTGCAGAATCCACACCCAGCCTGTAATAGTCTGACTGTCATACTCACATGTAGCGCAGCATTTTTCTATTTCCCTTAAAACGGACTGTTCAACTTGCTTTCATTGATCTCAGTATTAGTTGTTTTAGAAGCAAACCTAAAATACATCTGTTTGTTTGTTTTTGTGTGTGTACAGCAGGGCTGGCCAGCAGGCACCCAACAGATCCTCATCCCCTCCACGTGGCAGCAGATGCCAGGCATGTCCCTCCACAACCCCAACCAAACCCAGACGCTGGTCCCTGACTCCCCCATGGGAGCCCCCCTCTCTGGGGGAGACAGCTCAGGACAACATGCCTCACACTGGAGGTGAGTACTGCAGTGCTGTCCCTCTGGGCACTAAGGCCATATCATTGTCCAAACAGCAGAAAGTTAGAGGAATCACAAAGGAAGGCAGAGGAAGCCCTAATTTGATATTTTCTTACATTATTTTTTATCTAGGTTACAGTATGTGGAGACGTTGGATGGTTCAGATAATATTGTGTTGTTCTGATTCAAATATGCTAGGGAAGCTAATTCCAAGTTGTTGTTATGCCAGGGGTTGTCATGGCAGTCATTACCATGGCATCAAACAGCAGGACCATGCACTGGGGCGTCATGCTCCTGCGGTCCTGTCTCAAGCAAGATCCCAGCAGGGGAAAAGGTCTAAGGCTCGACATGCCGACAGTAGGGCCAGGTAACTTTCAAACCAATGGCAAGGTCCCAAAATACTCTTGTATACTGTATGGTTCCCTTCCTCATCAGGTATGTGATTTCTATGAATCAGTGAGAGCTTTATGATTTATGACTTTCAGATCAAAAAATTAAATAAAAAAAAGCACATTGAAACATCTCAATATACTTTACATTTTAAATGACATTTGTCCCTTTGCAGGCCTGTGTCGTCGCTGCAGACATCCGCTCCTGTGGTCCACAACACCCCTCTGCCTGCCTTCAGTGGTGATCCAATTGTCATCTCTGATACTCCCAGCCCTGCTGTCAGCATTATCATCATCCACAGTGACACAGAGGACGAGGATGGCGGGAAGTTCACTGCTGCCAGGTGAGGTCACATCCTGTCTATTCTCATGTATCCACCTAATGTGTGAATGAATGAGAGACAATTGAGAGACACTGCTGTTTTGTTAAGTTGCTGAAATCAGCACCGTGGATGACCCTGGCTTTTGCCTCAACCCCTCGGGTGTGTGTCTGTGTGTCTCAAGGGGTTGGGTTGAAAGCAAAATATAAATGTTTGTGTTCTAAAAAGAAAATCAACGATAAAGTCTTCTTTTCCATCATAGCTCTGGTGCTAACCAGCGGGCCAACGTGATCAGCTGTGTGACAGTCCACGACTCCCATGACTCTGACTCCTCCACCAGCAGTCCCCTGAGCCCCAACCACCTGGCCAACAACTCCTCATCGTCCCAGACCTCCCACTCCTTCTCCAAGTCTCTAGCCATCATCCTGCCCTTAGTGAAGACCCAGTCTGGGGAGAGCAGAGCACAAAAAACAGGTCGGCATGGTAACACACCTCCATTCTAGTGTTCCTCCTACTATTGTATAGGTGGGGCTGCCCACCTGCCTAGTTATGTTGCCTTTCACCTTAAATCATTTGGTTTTATTGATTTTCAGATCAACCTGCTAATGTCTCTGGTAAATCCAGGAAGGGGACAGCTCAGCAGTCCAGAAGGGCAGGAGGGACCTCCAGCTCTGATCGCCACCAGAGGGCCACAACTAGCAGATCCCAACCACTCAACCTGTGTCAGGTAAGGCTATATGGTTGATCTCAATTGTCATGTCTTAAGGTTTTATTTAAAATGTAGTTATCTAGAATGTGAATGAAGTGATATAAATTGTAGCCAATATTTTCCTCTCCAGGTACAGCAGTCTGTGATGTCATCGTCACAAGACAGAACAGGAGGCAACAGTTCCTTGCGCCGTCAGCCCACTTACCCTCCTCCCGTCTCCTCCAACTCCTCTTACTGCCTGCACGAGGTTGCCTCCATCTTCACCTCTACTCCTAACCTGTACGCCTACCCTGCCTCTGCCGCCCTGGCCTCTGTCTCCCAGGCCGTGGACCAGCTCCACACCGGCAGCTCTTCTCGACACGCCCGGCCCAACGGGCCCTACTCCTCCCTGGGGCTCCTACATGCCCAGGGACAGTACCACCAGCAGCAGCAGCTGGCGGCCCAGCCTTACCCCGTCCCCCAGTCCAGCGCAGCAGCCTACCAGCTCAGCCAGAGGAAGCTCAGTCAGTACCCCTACCTGTGAGGAATAGAGGCTGCCGGAGACAGAACCATAGAAATGGAATCCCATAGAAATATAAAATGTCTGTGGACAGAACAGCTCTCTAGCTCAGCGGAAGACCAAATGGAGACCAAGATTAAAAAGGTGCACCACTGCACAAGTTTAGCACTGGGACAATGAAATGTAATATTTTTTAAATGTGCAATTTATTAAGACCTTGTTTTAAATCATTTTAACAGCTATGTTGGCAATTTCCTGATTTCAGAGATGGTTTTAAAGTGGTAAATATTAGTTTGATTCCCTGTTACTTAAATTAAGCGCACATATGTTAACAAAAAAAAGTATTTAGACATTTCTCCTATGTAAAGCCAGTATTTAGTTTTTGAATATCTTTGTTTTTAGAATAATCTTATAATAGCCTACCTGTCAAAAGCACTAACCATGTGTGTCCTTTATGTCATTATGACAATTTATTTCCATTGTTAGTTTCATCATCTACACTACCAGTCAAAAGTTTGGACACACCTACTCATTCAAGGGTTTTTCTTTATTTTTGTAAACAATTTTTTACATTTTAGAATAATAGTGAAGACATCAAAACTATGAAATAACACATATGGAATCATGTAGTAACCAAAAAAGTGTTAAACAAATCAAAATATATGAGATTCTTCAAAATAGCCACCCTTTGCCTTGATGACAGCTTTGCACACTCTTGGCATTCTCTCAACCGGCTTCACCTGGAATGCTTTTCCAACAGTCTTGAGAGTTCCCACATATGCTGAGCACTTTTTGGCTGCTTTTCCTCCACTCTGCGGTCCAACTCATCCCAAACCATCTCAATTTGGTTGAGGCCGGGGGATTGTGGAGGCCAGGTCATCTGATGCAGCACTCAATCACTCTCCTTCTTGGTAAAATAGCCCTTACATAGCCTGGAGGTGTGTTGGGTCATTGTCCTGTTGAAAAACAAATGATAGTCCCACTAAGCCCAAACCAGATGGGATGGCGTATCACTGCAGAATGCTGTGGTAGCCATGCTGGTTAAGTGTGCCTTGAATTCTAAATAAATCACAGACAGTGTCACCAGCAAAGCACCCCTCACACCATAACACCTCTATGCTTTACGGTGGGAACTACACATGCAGAGATCATCCGTTCACCCACACCGCATCTCACAAAGACACGGCGGTTTGAACCAAAAATTCTCACATTTGGACACATTTCCACCAGTCTAATGTCCAATGCTCGTGTTTCTTGGCCCAAGCAGGTCTCTTCTTATTGTTGGTGTCCTTTAGTAGTGGATTCTTTGCAACAATTCGACCATGAAGGCCTGATTCACACAGTCCCCTCTGAACAGTTGATGTTGAGATGTGTCTGTTACTTGAACTCTGTTAAGCATTTATTTGGGCTACAATTTCTGAGGCTGGTAACTCTAATGAACATATCCTCTGTAACAGAGGTAACTCTGGGTCTTCCATTCCTGTGGCGATCCTCATGAGAGCCAGTTTCATCATAGCGCTTGATGGTTTTTGCGACTGCACTTGAAGAAACGTTCAAAGTTCTTGAAATGTTCCGTATTGACTGACCTTCATGTCTTTAAAGTAAGGATGGACTGTCGTTTCTCTTTGCTTATTTGAGCTGTTCTTGCCATAATATGGACTTGGTCTTTTACCAAAAAGGACTATCTTCTGTATGTCCCCCCTACCTTGTCACAACACAACTGATTGGCTCAAACACATTAAGGAAAGAAATTCCACAACTAAACTTTTAAGAAGGCACACCTGTTAATTGAAGTGCATTCCAGGTGACTACCTCATGAAGCTGGTTGAGAGAATGCCAAGAGTGTGCAAAGCTGTCATCGAGGCAAAGGGTGGCTATTTAAAGAATCTCAAATATAAAATATATTTTGATTTGTTTAACACTTTTCTGGTTACTACATGATTCCATATGTGTTATTTCATAGTTGTGATGTCTTCACTATTATTCTACAATGTAAAAAATAGTACAAATTAAGAAAAGCCCTTGATTGAGTAGGTGTGTCCAAACTTTTGATGGGTACAGTACTTCTGCTAATGAAATTGTATAATAGACACTACCTTTTATTCATTTGCTTTTATCATATTATTTTGTCTATACATTGGAAATTACCCTGAACAGAGTTTGTCTCTGTTATAAATGTTTTATGTGTTTCTGTTTGTTAAAAAATACAGATAAAATAATTAATTTGTTGATGGCAATGTCTGAAACGTCTGACATTGCCATTTGCCAACATTAATCTTTTGTGTTTTTCTCCAGCCTGTCACTGAGGCGCTTGTCAAAAGCCCTTGACTTTGACAAGTGCTGTTCACAGATTCCACACATCAATCACGTGTTAATCATCTCATCACAACCTTAGGCCTATTGATAGGCTCCCGTCAACCTTGAATTAATTTGGTGAATTGTGTTGAATCTGATGGTGATTCATGAGTAGATGTTGGATATAAGAGTTGATGGTTTTGGTAAGATTATGGTCATTCATACAATCCTACTATTATAATGTGAAGTGCTACATGAAACAGACAACACACCTTAATCATCATATAGGCAATACAATGGTTTTTAAGATGTATATTGTGGTACTGTATTTTTGCCAACTGGTCAATCCCAAATTTGCCCAAAAATGCACTATCCATGTAGTGTCTCAAAATATATATTTAATTTTACTTTGATCTGATCAGGTCAATAATGCTTTTTGTTAATAAGCTAAATATAGCGTAGAATATATACTTTCATACAAAACAGCTCTATAGATTGAATTGGATACTTCTATTTGTGTCCAGTTGGCCCTGGTTGATCCGGCATGCTCACCTCCTCCCAAAGGGCGATCAGATCGGCTAGGTATGTCTGGATCTGTCAGACAAGAACTGTCCAATAACAGACACATTAGTTTTCATTTGCTTGTACTAGTAGTTGAAATGCCCTCTGGCTACCAGATATGTCTAATTACAGAGTTGATGAATGAGTAATATAGAGGATTCACAATTTATGTAAATGTCTGTATGATATCTGCTATATATTATGGCAGATTAAGAGAATCCCCTTGATCAGAAAAAGGAGGAGACAGGTAAACTATGCATCAGAGCACTGCACAACTGTCATGACCTGCACAGATATCAGTATGATAATAATTTCTAGTTGTTCCCCCAATCTATTCCCTGTGATGCACAATGCCCTATCCTGTGAGTGGTTAATGAGTAGTATTTTATTAGGATCCCCATTAGAAGCTGCAAAAGCAGCAGCTACTCTTCCTGGGGTCCACATAAAACATGACATAATACAGAACATTAATAGACAAGAACAGCTCAACGAATGAATTACATAAATATACAGTGGGGGAAAAAAGTATTTAGTCAGCCACCAATTGTGCAAGTTCTCCCACTTAAAAAGATGAGAGAGGCCTGTAATTTTCATCATAGGTACACGTCAACTATGACAGACAAAATGAGAAAAAAAAATCCAGAAAATCACATTGTAGGATCTTTAATGAATTTATTTGCAAATTATGGTGGAAAATAAGTATTTGGTCAATAACAAAAGTTTCTCAATACTTTGTTATATACCCTTTGTTGGCAATGACACAGGTCAAACGTTTTCTGTAACTTCACAAGGTTTTCACACACTGTTGCTGGTATTTTGGCCCATTCCTCCATGCAGATCTCCTCTAGAGCAGTGATGTTTTGGGGCTGTCGCTGGGCAACACAGACTTTCAACTCCCTCCAAAGATTTTCTATGGGGTTGAGATCTGGAGACTGGCTAGGCCACTCCAGGACCTTGAAATGCTTCTTACGAAGCCACTCCTTCGTTGCCCGGGTGGTGTGTTTGGGATCATTGTCATGCTGAAAGACCCAGCCACGTTTCATCTTCAATGCCCTTGCTGATGGAAGGAGGTTTTCACTCAAAATCTCACGATACATGGCCCCATTCATTCTTTCCTTTACACGGATCAGTCGTCCTGTTCCCTTTGCAGAAAAACAGCCCCAAAGCATGATGTTTCCACCCCCATGCTTCACAGTAGGTATGGTGTTCTTTGGTTGCAACTCAGCATTCTTTGTCCTCCAAACACGACGAGTTGAGTTTTTACCAAAAAGTTATATTTTGGTTTCATCTGACCATATGACATTCTCCCAATCCTCTTCTGGATCATTCAAATGCACTCTAGCAAACTTCAGACGGGCCTGGACATGTACTGGCTTTAGCAGGGGGACACGTCTGGCACTTCAGGATTTGAGTCCCTGGCGGCGTAGTGTGTTACTGATGGTAGGCTTTGTTACTTTGGTCCCAGCTCTCTGCAGGTCATTCACTAGGTCCCCCGTGTGATTCTGGGATTTTTGCTCACTGTTCTTGTGATCATTTTGACCCCACGGGGTGAGATCTTGCGTGCAGCCCCAGATCGAGGGAGATTATCAGTGGTCTTGTATGTCTTCCATTTCCTAATAATTGCTCCCACAGTTGATTTTTTCAAACAAAACTGCTTACCGACACACTGGGGGGCGCTAGAGAGCGTGCTATGGAGTAGACGTGCAATGCTAGAGCTCCGCTCAATTTTGAAACAAATTAATATTTATCTTAACCTCTCACAACCTATAACTTCAAACAAATATGACAAAGGGAAAAGGCAACAAAAAAGGGGGCGCTAAACAAGATAATTGGAATGAGATAGACAACGAACCAATTTCAACGTCGCCGACCCACGAGGAGCTAGCTGAAGAGGCTAGCTTCCAAGAGTTCCCCACAGATCCTACTCAAAGTGACATACTGGCTGCCATAAACGCACTAAGCAAGAAGGTGGACACAAGGTTGGCTGATATCTCAAAGAGTATTGGGACTTTGGCCGAAACTGTGAAGGCAACTAAGGGAAGGGTGCACGAGGTTGAGCAGACGACAATCGATCACGAGGCCAGGCTACAGGACATAGAGAAACAGTGCGCAACGTTCAAAAATGACAACAAAACCCTGAAGGCCCGACTGGAAATGCTCGAGTCGCA